AAAAAAAATCATTTGATTTAATTCAATCATCTTGATTTTCGTAACTTTTTTTGTTTTTGTTTAAAGGTCAATACAATAACCATTGAAAGAGAAAGAATCATTTTATCTATCTTTTGTGGTATAGTAATCTTTCTTTGCCATTAATACACACTATCTCAACTAAACAACAAATGAAATAGTTATTGATGAAATCATACGAAATATTATCAATTCATCGAAATAGAAGTAAGAAACGAAACAAAATACTTTACTTTTGACACAATTATATAACATGTAAACTGTATATTTCTATATTTATCAGTCATATAAAAATGCGATCTCGAATAAACTATCAGGTTTATACAACAGCAGTCTTTGCTGCTATCGGTGGTTTTCTTTTTGGTTACGATCTAGGTGTTATTTCAGGTGTTATTGTAATGTCGAAATTTCTTCTTGTTTTTGGAGATCAAACAAGTATTAATCGAGGTTCACTAACAAGTTCTATAGCTGGATCTATTGTGAGTGTGATGTCAATAGGTTGTTTTATTGGTGCTCTTTTAGCTGGTCAAGCTAGTGATCGATTTTCACGTAAATATTCAATTCTTCTTTTTTCAGTTATTTTCATTGTGAGTGGTGCATTGCAAGCGGCTTCTTTCAATTTAAGTATATTACTTGTTTCGCGTTTAATTGCTGGTAAGATGATATTCATTTTTAAATTTTATATAATTAATGAACTAAATTGAATTGAATAACTAGGTATAAGTGTTGGTGCACTATCCATGATTGTACCTGTTTATCAATCTGAAATTTCTACCAAAGAAATTCGTGGACGACTTGTTTCATTTCAACAATTGGCTATTACAATAGGAATTGCAGTTAGTTTTTGGACTAATTATGGTAATAAATTAAAATTGTTAAAATTTGCAGAAATACAAAATTTACTAATTTTTTTGATTGTCTTAGGCACGGATTTGTATTTTCCATCTAGCAATGCATCATGGCAAATTCCACTTGGACTTCAAATTGTACCAGCATTCATTTTAGCAATTGGTATTCCTTTTTTTCCATTTTCACCACGTTGGTTAATGGCTCAAGGTCGTGATGGTGAAGCATTTGCTGTTCTTAGTCAAATACGTTCATGCTCTCAACGAGACATACTTATCGAATATAATGAAATTAAACAAGAGATCGCTGCAGAACATGAACAATCAATTCGATCATATGCTCAACTTTGTCATTTCCCACTTCGTCGTCGTTTGATTCTTGGTATTGGTATTCAAATTTTACAACAACTTACTGGGATCAATTCAATTATGTATTATGCACCAGAAATATTTAAACAAGCCGGTTTATCAGGTCAACGTGCTGCTTTATTAGCAACTGGAATCAACGGATGTATCAATATGTTAGCTACTATTCCTGCTATTTTATTTCTTGATAAATGGGGTAGACGACCTGTATTAATTGCTGGTGGTATACTTATGAGTTTATCGATGCTTACTATAGGCAGTATTATGGGTATACATGGACATACATTATTCAATTCAACAACAAATATTGCTGAAGTCATTATTCCAAGTCAAACAGCTTCGTATACAATAATTGTATTCGTATATATTTTCGTTGCAGCATTTGCATCTAGTTGGGGACCAACAACATGGCTTTATTGTACAGAAATATTTCCATTGAGTATGCGAGCAAAAGGAACATCATTAACTACAGCTGCTATTTGGGCAACTAATTGTCTTGTTTCTTTTCTTGTACCTGTTCTTCTCGAACGTCTTACATATGGAACCTATCTTATATTTGGTATTTTCTGTTTAATTATGGCCATAATAATATTTCTTTTCTATCCAGAAACAAAAGGTAGAAGTTTAGAAGATATGGATATGGTGTTTTCAAATTCGATTCTCGCCATTTCATCACACAAAAAAAGGAAAAACATTATCAACTACACTACAAATAATCCTGTTAAAAGACAATCACATCCACATATTGCTATATTTAATTCACATCGTATTGAATTTTTTTAATTATAATTAAATAACTAGAGATAAGTGTGTTTGATTAAATTAATTAAAAAATTATAATAAATCTTTATCAATAAAAACTAATCATCTCGCTGAATTCATATGACCACTTAAAGAATACAACAAGAATATCAGTACTATATTATTTCATTTGGAATTATTCATTCTATATGATTCTTTATTATTTAAAGTATTTGTTTGATGCATTCTATTCTCATTTCTATTCAATCTCACATCCACTCATCCAAAGAACGGAAGAAGAATATACATAACTTTGTAGAGGCACAGGAAACTCTATCATGGTGATTAGATCTCTACCTAAGAACTATAGTAATAGACAGAGAATGATAATTTAGGAAATAACATTTTCGATTATTAGATGTGTAACTATCGTCATTTTCTTAAATTTGAAGTTTATAATATCAATGTTAGATATACAGCATGTTGTATGACTGTATATCGTCTCAATTCATTTGTTTACTAAACAAATAGTTCGATGAATTTAATGTATATATAATTTTTTTTTGAAAAATTTCTAAATTGATCAAATCTTTGTCTTTATTATTGTGACATTTGATGTCAGTTTGAGAGCGAAAGATATCGTACTTAATATAGTACGCACCAGTCTTTTTATAAAATCAAATCAGTTTTAAATTTCGAAGCGACTCTGAATGTAATATATTGTTTTCAGATTAATCTATTCAATTATGTATATAATACCATTATTACATCAGCCTGAATCTGTATCTTTTATATTTTTAATATTAAATATTTTCATTCTATTAATCACAATTTGTTTTGTTCGATCACTCTTATTTTTTATTCTCATACTTATTTATTTGATTATCGTCATATTCATATGTCGAAAAATAGCACATGGTCATTCATATATTCCACCAAAAAATACTAATTTAATTGGACAAACAATTGTTATTACAGGTGCAGCATCAGGTATTGGTCGTGTATCAGTGGTAGAATTCGCTAGACTAGGAGCTAAAGTTATTATTGGTATACGTGGTCAAGAAAGAAGTGAAGAAATAGCACAAGAATTAGAACGTGAAGCAAATATTATTGGTATGAATAGAATAATTGGTTATAATTTAGATTTATCAAATCTTATGACAGTAAAAAATTTTGCTGATAAAATTCTTGAACATGAAGAAAACGTAAATATTTTATTAAATAATGCTGGTATTGCAAATCTATCACATTCATTAACAGTTGATGGAATACAGACAGAATTTGGTACAAATCATATTGGTCATTTCTATTTAACAAAGCTTTTATTACCATTATTAATACAATCACAAGCACGTATTGTCAATGTTAGTAGTATTGGACATTGTTTTATAGAAAATGGTATTAATTATGACTTATCTAGTTCAGCGTATGTGCCAAAAGTAGCTTATGATCAATCAAAACTAGCACAAATATTACATGCTTTTGAACTGCAACAGCGTTATGGTCAACAAGGTATAAAAGCATATTCATTACATCCAGGATTAATTCATACAGGAATCACACGAAGTATACCAACATATTTTGCATCGATTTATCAGCTAATATTGCTTATAGTTGGAAAATCATTATATCAAGGTACACAAACAAGTTTATATTGTTCATTATCGGATAATGCAAAGCCAGGAATATTTCATGCGGATTGTAAAGAAGCAAAAGCAAGTCCATTGGCTTATAATATAAAATTAGCTGAAGAATGTTGGAACTTCAGTGAAAATATAATTAATGAAAAACCAAAATTCTTCTGAGTATAAATATCGAACTATAATTGATCAGATCGTATATTAGATACTCTAATGATAACATTCACCTCGATTAATATAGTTAAAAACAACAACTCCTCTTTGTATATATGACAATTTGATAATGGGTGTGAATTCTATTTGCAATCTGTTTTTAATATCATTTTATTTCTTGCTTTATATCAAATAAAACCTCATGAAATTCATTGATACATTTAAGAATGATGAATAACATGATTGATTTGCATAGTTTTGATATCCATACATCTTTCTCATTTTTTCATGTTCTAATTACACAATACTGATAATATAAAATTAGCATCTGTTATATTTCAGTAGAAACTATGAACATATATATCTCATTCTTTTCAAAAGTACAGAACACTAAACTATCTATAAAGATCTGTTCATTTTCTAACAGGATCAGAAAATATTTAGCTGTTATTACAATAGATATCGCTCTAGACTTGAAATGTGATTGGCACAGTTTTACACCATACCTGTGTTTTTTATTTGATCTGTAATGATGACTCAGTAATGAGTTGCTGCGATACACCTAGTTTCTTTCTATATTTTATATTTCAAAGATGATTCAATGTCCAATTTAGTAGAATTATAAGATAAAGTTTTTCTTGTCTCAGTTTCACTTTAACGAGACCATAGTATTATTCTTTTAGATGAAATGTAATGAACACTTTGATATTATCGTCTATTCCATGTCTAGAATCGTTACCAGATGAATTATTTTATGATATTTTTGAATATTTATCAGTTCGAGATTTGTATAATGGATTTTATAATCTTAATTGTCGTTTTACATCGATTCTTTCTTCGCTCACTAATGTCTATGGAGAAATGATAACTAAAGAAGAAGCATATTCACCTGCTTTTCTTTTCTTTGCTACTCGTATTACTATACTGAGCGTGGAACATGTTGAACCAATTGATTTTTCTTCATTTGTAGCTCTTCGTTCGCTTAGATTACATACTGAACCAAATCGTAGTCAATGTCAATCAATTCAACTTCTTTCTCGTCTCGAATATTTGTCTGTTGATAAACCTCGTGTTGAACATTTTTATTATTCAATTTCATTGTCTTTCTTCGTGTTGACAAATGCATTTCCATCTCTTCGTTCATGTCGTCTCAATCTAATTCCATTCAAAGATAAACAACAATGGACACTTGTACCTTCGCTTCATATATTGAATATTAGTATTGGTAATCCTCGTGTTTATCCACAAATACTTTATGCTTGTCCATCACTTGATAAATTTAGTCTTGAATTTACACCACATTTTACTACACCGCCCAAAGTATTCTTTGATTCATCCCATACATCTCTTCGACAACTTAAACTTCGCTTAAATTGTACGACATTTTCATATTGTCAAATTATTGATTTACTATTATCTCTCGTACCAAACTTGATATATTTATCTATTAGAGGATCTCTTAGCGATGCCAACAACATCGATATAGACTCACTCGCTATCATTCTTTATGATCGCGTTCCTAAACTTAATAAATTCTTTCTCAAAATGGCAGTTCAAGAATCACTTATTAATACTCAACAAGATGATAATTATGAAAACATACAACAGTTACATCCACTTTTTCAATATATTATAATAGATCCATCAACACAGTATACACCAGCACGATTGATCATTCAATCAGAAAGTGGATAACTATGGATACAATATTTTAGTTTCTTTTTATATTTTATAAAAGAAAAGTAATAATAGATATGAGAGCGAATGTGACATGAGAAGTATTATTTCTTCTTCGCATTTCCGTATGAAACAATCAAGAGTCGTTTTATTTTTATGTCATATTTATGTATTATTCAATCTTCTGAGTAACTATCAAAACTTTTTCTGAAATTTCATAATTAATTTCTACATAAACATTTTTAATCTGACAATAAGTTTTAACATCAAACTAATAACAAGTCACTTGAGAATTCTATCACTCTCTTATAAGGAACAAACATGCTCTTGTCTGAGTCCTGAAAGATATATTTAAATTATTTTTATTTTTTTCCAAAGAAAAAAAAGACAAAGAAAAAGTTCTCAGCAGAGATATTATTTTATTTCTAACATCATGTCTTCATCCATGGCTATCGATATTCTTCATTCTACTCAACAATATTCACTCTACAGTACTTCTTTTATATTTGTTATTGGTACAATTGGAAATCTACTTAATATTCTTATTTTTACTACATTAAAAATCTTTCGAAACAATGAATGTGTACTTTATGTTGTCACAGAGGCAATCGCAAACATATTTCAATTAACTACATTTACTCTTATTAATCTACTCTCAGCAGTATATCAAACTGATCCAGCTAATTCATCACTTTTCTGGTGTAAACTTCGAGGTATAATGGTTATATTATGCACACTTATTTCATTTTTTACAATAAGTTGTTCTGCTTTTCATCAATATCTTTCCACAAGTCCTCTCCTCTATTTAAGACAATTATCAACAATCAAATTAACAAGATTTCTTATATCTACATCAGTGATTATTTCACTATTATTTACTATACCATTTATTATATTTCTTGAAATTCGAGCATCTGTTTGTGCTATATTTAATCAAAATACGTTAAATTATCTATCTTATTTCTATTATCCAGTTCTATCTGGACTTTTACCTGTTCTTATTGCATCAGCATTTAGTTTTCTAGCATATAATAATGTTCGACGAATAGTTCGAAGACAAATACCAATAGTTCGACGAAGACTTGATCAACAATTAACTGCAATGATACTTATTCGTGTAATAGTATTTATCATTTTAACATTACCCTATGATATTCAAAGGATGTATACATATATTGCAAAAGTTAATCAATCAAATCTACTTTATTATGCAATTAACAATCTCATTGGAGCAATTTTAGTAACATTCTTTAATATAAATTATGCGGTAAGATAGAATAGATAATTTGTGTTTTAAATGTGATTGTTTAGGCATCTTTTTATATATTCTTGATAACATCTGCCCGATTCCGTCGACAAGTGAAATATATTTTGGTGAAGAAATGTTGGGGACGATGTAAACGATGGTTTCTTCATAGTAGAAATCAAGTTAATCCAAATGAGAATCTCAGATCACCTAATTCTAGCGTCGTATTAGATTAAAAACTAAAATTAACTTCTTTGAAAACTATTATTTAATTATTATAATCTAGTTCAAAATAACATAAAGACAAGATTAGCATCAATTTATTCGTACATATGACTAAATTCTGAAAAGCTAGAGTCAAATCTTTGAATCTATTGAAAAATCGGCACTATCATACAATTTACATGAACTACTTGAAAAAATTATAAATGAATTCGTCATTTTTTTCCTAGTAGTGAAATTAGATTAATAGACAATCCGAATATACTTATTTCATTTCTCAAACTTAGAAATTATGAAATATAAATCGTTTATTAGTTCATTGTAACTGTAAATCTATAATACGATCTAGTTAATTTAAAGTTCATTTTTCTGTTGCAAGTCTACTTTATAAATGCTTGTCATTTACTTTAACTATAATCTGTTTCTAAATAATAAACAAAAAATATAATATATCACAAGATAGAAAAATTATACAATCCTGTTTAGAGTTATCTTTTGAAACAAACCTTATTTATCATCATTTCTCACATACATCAATAATTTACTTCAGTTTTATATTCAATTCACCTAAACTTTTTCTAATATTTAATGGTGCACAAAATAGAAGATTCATAGGAAATACGTCTACTCTCCTTCTATTTTCATGAAATAAATGTTGATTATTTTGAATTTAGGAAGAATCCATGTATGAATTATAACCATAGAATATTTTCTTATTTAGTAAGACAAGCGACCGAAATATAATCTCAGATGCAATGTAATTTATGTAAGTGAAAACTAACTTTTCTTTTATTTTCATTTCATAGTATTCTTTTGCATTATTTTTTAATTTACTTCGCTTATTTATAAAACCGAGATTAAACTTTTAATATTCGAAAGTGGATGAATATGAATGAAAGACCTCTAGATTTACATTCATATCTTATTTGACTTGACTATAAGAAAACATACTAGCATAAAAATAACTTTTGATGATAATAAATAGTATATATAATAGTTTTACAGTATAGATAGTTTTATTATCAATAGAATAAAAACAAAAGTCACTATCATAATGAAAGAAAAATTAATATATATTTTTAAACAAGTGGGTAGCTAGACATTGTGGCAATACCGCATTGGTTATTTTTATTACGGCTCATCCAGATATAACCATTGCTACCCCATGATGTACCCCATGAATTTTTAACAATGTAATAATCTTGTCCATTTTGACTAGCATAACCAACAGCTAAAACACCATGATCGAGTTGAACTGATGAACAGGCTGCTTCATTATAAACACCAGAGTGATAGAAATGAAATGAACTTTGTGAAGCATCAATAGCAACTGAGACTGGACCAACAGTAGCAATAGCAGTTTGTAAAGCATTTTCATCTTGTGCTTTAATATCAACAAATCCCTAATAAAATAAAAATAGAAATTCTTTTTTACTTTTTACTTAATTAATAAAAAAAAAAGATAACTTACAGTATCTGTAGCACCAACATTTTTTATATCAAATCGACATGTATCATCACGAGCTTCATATGGATAACTTGATTCAGTATCAATACCTTTGTTAGCTTTGATATATTGAAAAGCATAATCCATTAAACCACCGCCGCATCCCATGTTACCATATGTACGTGAACAATCAACTAAATTTTGTTCGGAGAGTGAAACAAGTTGTTGTGTTTTAGCGAAGTGTTGACCTTCAAGTGAACCAGTGGTTGAAAATGCCCAACATGAACCACATTGTCCTTGATCTTTAACGGGTGTTACATAACCTTTTGTTCTCCAATCTATTTAATAAGAAAAATGTATATTAGTTTAATATTTTTATTTCCATATTTACCAACGGAATCTGGTAAAACAACATGAGCTGGAGCACGGAATGTATGACGATCAGCACCGCTGACTTTAGCTTTTAAACTCATATCAAGACCATTCATTTGTTTATTGATTTCTTCGTTTGTCTACATATAGATTATGTAGATGAATAGATAAAAATAAAATAATAAATACATACCATATCACCAAGATGATTCATTTTTAATGTATAAGTATGTACACCAATGTCAGCTTCAAGATTATGAGTACGAATCATAGCAAGATTAGCTTCCCAAATTGATCGACTGTTAAAATAAAATAAAAAAAAAAGGATTAATTTAATAATAAAGACAAAGAATGCTAATCTTACCGATTGACTTCATCAACAGATGTATATTGTTTTCCATAAGTGCGTTTGAATAAAGCCCATGGTTCATCCAATAATGAATTGAATGTTGGTGCTGAATAAACGCAGACAAAAAGAAGACAAAGAGCGATGAAAGCTTTCATTGTTTATATATTGTATTTGTTTTGTTAAAACACAACTACTGTTGAAAAATGAATTTTTTTGTGCTTTTTACAGGAAATATTTTTTTGTTATGTCAGTGTTTTTTTCTTGAAGATAAGAACGATCAAATAAGCCACGTTATTAAATAAGCATTTTTTTTACACAAAATGACCATGCAAAGTACAGAAATATAGGTTATCTTTTATATTTACTTCTTTTTCAAATAACAAAGTAAGTGATGATAGGATCTATTTTTTGCAAAATCATTCTATACAATACTTGAAATTTCTATTTTTCTGTTTGTCAACAAAATAGTTGTCGATACGAATACCTTTACGTTGCGTATATCTAGCAACACATCTTATCATTACTTTATTTTTATGTTTGTCTTTTTTTTCTTTTAAATGACATTGAATAATATCAATTGAAAGAAATCTTTCAGTAATCCTAAGACTAAATTCCATTATACTAAAGAAGTAATCGGTAGAAGAACATGAAATGAAATCCTTTATAAAATCTGATTAAAGGTTCTAGTCGTTTTATTAATGGCAACAAAGACATATAGAATCATTAAACATTATATCTCCATCATCAACTGTACAACAAACTATTCCTAATACTAAAATATTTGTACTTTATTTTCTACATTACGATTATTCCGAAATCAACACTTAATAATCGGTCATATCTTCATTAAAATAACATCATATATTTTATAATATGGCTGTAATATTAATGTGATAATTAATTCAATAATTTGTTGTAAAATCAACAATATGTTTTACTATTTTCAATCAATTTCTTTTAATATATTATTTGTTTAGTCTATGACAAATTATATATACAAAACTAGTTGGTATTGGACTTGCGATTGTACATTTCAATCTTTTTTTATCTTCGTTCATAATTTTTGGGCTCTGTCATTTAAAATTCAATAATAACAAATTATTTTATATTCTTTGGTTTTTTTACTAGTTATGGCCACAATCATATTCTATCTATTAACAGCTTTCTATAATGCTCGTCATTTCATACGTCGACAAGATAACAGCAATGACATTTTCTCCTGTTATCACTTATATTTATTTAGGTCTACCTTGAATTATTTTCGGAATTTATTCTATTGATAAACTTATTATAAGTGATGATTCTATATAATTTGTAATTGATTTTATATTAATTATCTAGTAAGACAATTTTATTATTGTTTCAACTGTTAAGATCGGGTTTTGTTTTTTTTTCTCTTCCTTTTAGCTCGATCTTTATGTGCTTGTGTTGTCATCAGAATATTTTAGCCGTTAACTAAAATATATATGAATAAAAAAGAATACTGTCGATTATAAAAACGATCGCACAGAAGGATAGTAGCAATAAGTTAAGCTCGTCGGATATATCGATAATTCGATTAAATTAATAATTTACAACAAGGAATATATACATAAGTACGGTGTAAAATAAAGAACAAATTATAGAAAAAAGTCTTCACAATCCTTGAGTAAAGTCTAAAATTTACTTTCATAACTTCTTCTCTTTCGTATTATATAGAACTATTTTAAATACGTCTCGTTGTTTCTATAACTTAATGTATATAAGTTCATTTTTCATATCATAGAGATTGTATTGAGGGTGTGGGTGTGGGTGTGGTTAAGAACAGAACAATATTCACACCCACACTCAGCATCGTTAATGAAGAACCTCTGATTCAAGATTATCTTTCTTTATTTTATTCGTATAATAATTAATTAACGAAAAAATTCGTGATTATTCTTACAATGCAAAAAAGCAAATTCTGTTGCTTTGTGAAATTAGATCAATTTATTATTTCTCTACGTTTTTTAATGCTCCTTTTTAATAGGATTTTTGGGAAAATTCCAGGATGACATTTTTGCTTTTGTGCGTCAAGGAAAGGTGAACTTCCCAACTTGTTAACGACGATATGTATACCATCGCCAATCTTCTTGCAAGTAAACCGACGAATCGAAATCAACCATTGAAATCCATTTCGTTTCGTTGTATCGCATTTTTCCGGGAGACACTTTTCCAAATCATCATCACATGTAACACGAATATTTGTGCATGTATCGTAGCATATATCGTGCTCATTACAGCAATCGATCATATTACTGAGTCCGATGAATTTTATAAGTTTATTGAAATTAAGGCCACCCTGTGCACCACATCCATTTGCTTGAGTCTGTTGACGAAGACTGTTTGCACTTCCAATAGTGAAAATCAGTATGATCAGAACCGTGTGAGCCATGTATATGCGATTGTTTTGAAGAAAAAAACAAGAATTTGATAGTACTTTGTTTGAATTTATATACTTCGTTTTCTTACAATGTATATTCGCTGTAGTTAAATGTAATGTATGAATTTACCGGTTGGTGCTGAGTGAAATGAAAGAACAGTTGTAAATATAAATACTCATTCTTATATGGCTTATATTGGGAATAAAAACCTTCTCTTTTTAACTGAGAACTGATGATTCGATTTAGACTTTGTGTAATTTCCTGTTCACTCAGACTGGGACATGAATCATATCATGTGTTACAAAGTGATGAAACGATAACACACAAAAGAATGTTATTCTCTGTTCTCAAGTATGTGAGTAACTCTAGGCGCCATACAAGACAGTAGTGTTTTATTAACCAAAAAAAATATTCGTTCGCTTATCAATCATATGTGTAGTACATGATACTTTTTCATTTCACCTATTTGGTTTATTCCAAAAGTAGTGGCACCGATACTTTATTAGCATATATTAAACTGAAAAGAGTTTTCTTTTTATGTGTAGTGATACTTAAATGCAATACTTTATCTTTCTATGATATTGATTTAATTTTAAACGGATCTTATGACAGGAAAATTTTAATGAAAATTATTTCTTATAATAGGGTATGGATGTGCTTATCTTGATTATATCATAAAAATAAACTTTTCGAATTATTCAATTAAGCAACAAATGAGTATGCAAAGACTGTTAGATATAAAATATTTCAAAACTCGTGCTTTAAAAAATTCCCTAGTTTTATTTGACGTATTCAATAACAACATCATTTTCTCTTATGTATTCGTTTCGCAGTAGAAAGAACGAAAAAAAAATGTGTAAACAAACTTAACAGAATGTAAAACGATGCACATGTTTTTTTTTCAAGTTAAATAAATGAGGTTCAGAGTATTGATATATTAGTTTTAAAATCATATTATTTAACAAAATATCGAAACTATAATTAAGTCAAAACTTAATTTACATAATAATGATAATTAGTAATCAAATAACAATGTACTATCGATACATACATACAAATATAACAACTAATAAATTTATATGACATTTTAATACTGTATCAGCGTGTATAATACCCAATAAAATAAATATAACTATTTGTATTAGTACTATATAATTAAAGAAAGAATCTTCTGCTTTTATTTATAGTTGTGTGGGCGAAGATATACTACTCATTCAATACATAACTACATTAACACCCACACTCACACTCTCAAGACGCACTGAAACAAAGAAATGGCTTTCTTTTGTAATCGTTTTGCTTTATTCATAAGAGAATGACATACTTTACCTTCAATTTTCTTCTTGCTGGTTGCCTACTCTACCAACAAGATTTTATTTAAAAACAAACAGTCAACAAATTTTAAAGTGTATAGATTTCAATGCAATGACGTAGTGCTTCTTTACTTTGAAATAGTATGCATCACTTTATGTGCATTCAATAAACGATAAGCATGGGACTTGCTTGCACAAAAACATCGACTGCATCAAACGCTCCTTTGATTAATACAACTGACACAAGTCAAACTGGACCAGATGGTATAGTACTCTTTTCTACAAAGTCTTTGCATGGAACATTTCGACTTATGAAAGTGTATCATTAAGTCATTAGCACTATAGAGATGCAACTCCTTTTATATAAACAGATAAATAAATATCTGAGTATATCGAAAACACATTAGAAGACAGCTCAATCTTTATCCATACAATATGTTTTCATTTCTGATATTGTAAGCGTCTTTGTGAATAATCGCCAATATTCTATCTGTTACACATATTTTCAATTTGAACTGAGAAAAATAGCATTGATCTTAGAGTTTGTGCCGTTATATGAGATATTAAACTATGTTATCTATTTTGTTTCAGCATCACAATCTAGCCTTGATATTTCTGCTAATAATAAATGGACACCGAGTGGAATTACAGTGGCTGGAGGAAATGAAGAAGGCATAGAATTGAACCAACTCTTTCAGCCATGGGGCTTGTATGTAGATGATGATTTGACTGTTTACATCGCTGATTATTGGAACCATCGTATTGTGGAATGGAAATCTGGAGCAAAAAATGGTGTTGTAGTTGCTGGTGGAAATGGAGAAGGAAATCGAGCTGATCAGTTATGTGGCCCAACAGATGTGATTATTGACCTGAAAGGAGATAATTTCCTTATTTGCGATCACGAAAACAGACGTATAGTACGATGGCCTCGACGAGAAGGAAAAAGTGGAGAGACGATTATTTCAGACGTTCAATGTTTCAGTATAACTATGGACAAACAGGGATATCTTTATGTTCCTGACACAGACAAGCATGAAGTAAGACGTTGGCGAGTAGGAGATACCAGTGGAGTAGTCGTAGCCGGTGGGTGTGGAGAAGGTGAGGGTCTTAATCAACTCAATTATCCCAGATATGTTTTCGTTGATCAAAGCTATTCAATCTATGTATCAGAGCACGGAAATCAGCGTGTGACTAAATGGTTAAAGGGTGCAAAAGAAGCTATTATTGTTGCTGGAGGTCAAGGTCAAGGAGATGATTCATCACAATTATCAAATCCTGAAGGCGTCGTCGTTGATCAATTAGGTACTGTCTACGTAGCGGAGTCAGGAAATCATAGAATCGTTTGCTGGCCCAAGGGAAGTAAACGTGGAAATGTTATTTTGGGTGGAAGCGATAGTGGAAAACAACCAAACCAACTTTATTGTCCCATTGGTTTATCCTTCGATCGCTGCGGCAACCTGTATGTTGTCGATATGGGCAATAATCGCACACAGCGATTTAATATCATTCGAAACTCTTAAAAGTCCATTTTTTAGTGGTGTCTTATCCGTTGAACGATTGATCGAATAAAAGAGATTATCAGAATTTGAAATGAACTGATTCATATAATCGAGAGAGGAACATAGACAAAGGTGAGATGAGTGGTGAATGAATATTAATTTAAATATTACAGTGATATCCATATCTATAATCCTAATTATAACAATCATTAAAAATCGAACAAAAAGTATTAGCATGAATAATTCTCTTATAGGCAACAATGAGAAAAAAGAATAATTGAAATTTCAAAAGATATTTCATTCGGTAGTATTGAATGATTCTTTCCAATAATTTAACTATTTGTAGAATCGATTTAGTCAAACTTAATTTAAATATATTAACAATTTTTTTTATTCTTTTCAAATACATAACGATTACTTTACCAGTCATAAAAATGCATCATTAATATGTAATTATTATATATGAATCCTTTTTTTTCGTACAAGAGACATTAAGGCTACTTTGACCTTAAGTTTTAGTACGTATTCAATTGAATAAGATGTATTCTTATTTTTTCTGAAAGATTTAAATATTTTTCTTAGTTTTGTATATATTATCGACTTTAAAAATCAAACGTTTTTAGCATTAACTCAGTATAACAAAAATCAATACATAACAAATATTATCTAGATGTACATTCATGATTATAATATCCAGTTCCATCTCAATGCAAAATGATGTCTTATTCATTCCATATTTTGCTTGCTGCTTTGATCTGGTATTACGAGAAAAAAACAGAAATTACATTTTTATTTTCAATTCATTATTTCGAATACTCTGACGTCAATATCGACGTTTTGTATATATGGATGCGCTTGAATGGGTTTGTTTTCTGTCTGTTTTATGGGATATAAAATATCGGCGGTAGTTTGTTGTTATATTTTACCCTTGTTATTTTACATACGAGTATTTTACCTTCGTTAATTAATAATAACACAAAATGAAAAATCGTGTGATTACAACTATACAAATAATTCTGTTTTCTTCTTCTATTTAGATTTGCAACAGTCTAAAATACAACGCTACGTCGACGATGAGCACTAACAAAGTAGCACCAATTACCAACAGTATTAATGATCCTCCTTCTTACAAAGAAACATCATACACGAGTAATGAAACACCAATTACCACTGATGTAAAATCATACAATATAGAGCAAACAACAACTACCACTTATGACAAAACACCAGTTACTGTTGTTCAACCAGCAGCCAAATTGGAAGAATCCAAAGGAAACTCTTGTATAGAATGCTTAGATTGGTGTATTTGCTGCATGTCATGCTGTGAATTGATCTGTATATGTGTTGAATGTTTTAAATAATTAAAGATTAGTAATTACTTATTACATACAGTATATTAATATTTTTATCTACGTGTTTTTATTCTATTGTGTATTTCAAATACTTGAAACAAGATTTTTGTATCTTATCAATAAAATTTATAACAAAATATCTAAATCGAATCCTTCATTTTCAATTAATAATTCTAATTTATTTAATTATCAAATATGATTATTATTCAATGTAACCAACACACAGATGAAACAAAGAATTAATTATGCTATCGATATTTGTATCGAATGAATTTTGAAGATTTTCAATAACATCGCACGTACCATATGCAAGAAGAAAATTCAATTTTCTGCTGTTGTTGTCTATTTTTCAACAGTAATTCAAAGATATTTGAGATTCAAACTTAAATAATTGAGTATCTTCTTGTTCAGTCGCTTACGATAGACATAAACAACCGGCAGAGTCATTTTTGAATAAAACTACATCAACGTCGGATGCGCGTAAATATATTATACGAAAAGTCAAAATGGCATTTAAACTCTGAGAAATACATGCAGCAACAAATTTATTTCCATTTTGTCGATATATTTGATATTATATTTCAATGTATATACTATTTCGACTATTATACATCATCGGTAGTGTTGATACACGTGGACGATATGGTTACAACGATTAGCAAAAAAAATAAAATAGTGTTTCTTTCGTTTCTTTTTCGTTGAAAGAGGAAAGAGCAAAATGTCAGCATAGTATACATGTTAAACCTACGCAATATCCTAGTTACAACGTGACAACTAAACGATTTGTTTCACCTTGAATGCACTTTATTTTGTTATTAACAATAATCGAACCATCATTAAAACTTTATGTTTGTTTATTATCATCATCATTCATTCTATGTTCGCGAGTTAATAGGATAAATACATACTGATAAAATATAGGACAAACAAGAGTAAGAGGCGTTGTTTTTCTTTCGTTTTCTTTCACAAGTTTTATGACAGAACGATAAATTCAATATGAATATATCTATTTTCATTCTCTTATATTGTATTATAACGTCGAAAAATAAATGATAAGTCTTATTTAATCGTTCAACTAGCGAGTCATACACAATAACCAACTATTTCATTAAATAAATATCAAGAAGATCATTTTTCGACATAAAAATATTTAAAATCATTTAAAAAGAATAGTTCAGCAATATTAGAAAATATTAAATATTCGAAGTGAATAAACTTGAATCAATGAAAAATAGCAAATCTCAATGGTTTCATCTATCCAAATGATTTGACTTTACGTATAATGCATAATCGATTTGGAGATAGTCTGATTAGATGGAAAACATTTACTGAACAAGTAGAAATAGGATTATACAAATGTTTATAAAAAGAAAATGACTCTATGGATTTAATTAAAGTGAATTTTACAAATAAACTGATTTATATAATTATATAAACTATAATAATCTAGAATAATAAACCTTGAGAAATTATTATCAACAACTGACTTTTTTGAAAGTACTTCAAATAAATAATGTCAAGAGCAATAAAAGCGACTTTGATTTTGACATACTAAACTTTTACATTCTCAATTGTGATCTTGATGCAGAAATAAAAGATCTCTCCGAAATACTGAGTGCGACATCTTATTAACTCATGTGTTATATACTAAAAAGAATCATCTGAATCACATTTCTCATTTCAATCACATCGTAACTGACATTTTTCGTTTTTATATATACTTAAACAAGTGTTTATTTCACATTCATCAATACAAAGTAAAAATTATATATTTCATTACAACAAAAAACAATGAATTAGTATTATTATACGCTGCCCTCTTTTATAAATTTCATTTAAATGGTAAATCATATTAACCATTCACATATTTATATTAATCTTTTTTTTAAACTACCTAGGTAGTATTTCTAATAGCAAGAATCCACAATGGAATAAATCATTCAAGATCCTTGCTCATTTTTATTCAAAATTCTGTTTGTAGAAAAACAAAAGTATCACGTGTACACTTTACTCGCAACATCAAAATGTACTTGGAAATTTTTATTTTTCAGATTTCTATTCGAAAAAAAATGATTATTCACAGATATACTCGACCGGCTATTTTACGTATTTTTTCTAATTCATTATTTGCGTCAAATTATTCTATTAAAACAAATAATCAATCTAAACTTCCATGGACATCTACAGAATCAACGAATCAATTACTAAAAACGTTAAATAATCGTGGTGATTACGAACGTGCATTTCGTTTATTTGATAATCTTATTAAACAAAATAATATTAATATTAAAACATTATTAACTATTATTGATACATGCATTCAATCAAATCAAATTGAACGTGGTCGTCAAATAGAATTATTAGTTAATCAATCAACGAAATGGAAAAATCATATACGTCTTCAAACATCATTAATAAATATGTATATGAAATATCAAATGATTGATCAAGGTAAAATATTTTAAAATAATTATTTTAAAAATAATAAATTTATTTTAGCTGAAAGAATTTTCGAAAATATCCATCAATTACCTGAATGTGATATTATTGTTTATAATACAATGCTTGTCAGTATTGTATTTAATCTCTAATATTTATTAATTTCCTTTTTAGAAAGGTTACCTTCGAAATCATAAAGCTGAATATTGTTTTAATTTTATTGATAAAATGCAATCAAAATTTATACCAGATAATGTGACTTATATTCTTCTATTAAATGGTAAAAATATATATATTATCAACAAAAAAATATTATCTTTTTTTCATATATCTAGCTTGTACTGTATTACGTGATAAAAATCGTGGTAAAGCAATTCATAATGAATTATTATCCACATTAGATAATCAACATGTTCATTTACATAATACATTAATTGATTTTTATGGTAAAATAAATGATATAGATTCGGCTGAAAAAATTTTTGATGAAATGAATTTACGTGAAACAAGTACATATAATTCATTAATGAAAGCATATCTTGTTAATAACATGCCATTGAAAGTATTGGATTTATTTGAACAAATGAAACAATATGATTTACATATGACTGGACCATTAGCATTTAAACCTGATTTAATTACATTTATGGCTATTTGTGATGCATGTGAAAAACTTGGATTATTAGATAGTCCTGATAATTCCTATGAAGATTATAATTGGAAAAAAATATTTTCAAGAAGTTCAACAGTAGAAAAATAAAAATCTCAAGTTTGTTGTCTCTTTTGGAAAATTGAAATATAGAATTATCTTGAGCTGTACATTGAAGACAACTTAATAAAGATAAACTTTACCAAGTAAAAAATTTTGAAATATATATTTTAGATGTTGCCACAGCCTCATTATTGTGATATAAAATATCAGATCTGAACAGCTCCAACTTCAAAAACGGTTGATGTTTCCTTGTTTTTTCTAGGCTTTCAAGAATAAGAACGAAAACAAGTTAATAACATACGAAAGATATCTAATATAGGAGATTAGAATAGTAATCTGAGAGTAATGCGACCTAACAGGACGTAAAACTCATGACAACATATGGTACTCATACACACACATTTCGAAAGTTTTTATTGCTCATTTTTTTTTGAAATTATCAAACGATTAATTATCAAAATATTATTTTTTAGATGACGACTAATAAAACATCGAACGATCAATCAATAAATAAAGTAAATTAATATTTGTTTTCTTATTTACTATAATATACAAATATAATATTTTAGAATGAACGTACTCGATTATTTTATGATCCAAATTCATTATCAAGTTTTAATGGATTCCGTATTGTTCATACATATTTTGATTTAAAAGTTGATTTTGATTCAAATATTCTTGATGGTTATGTTCAACTTGATGTTAAACCATTAGATAATCAATCATGTGATTGTTCATCAACAATAACAACAGAAAATAAAGAAATTCCAAATAATCATGGAAATAAACTTGTTCTTGATTCTCGCCATTTAAATATAAAAAAAGTTGTATTCATATCTAATACAAATGAAATCTTACTTACATTTCAAGTTGATACAGAACGTGAATCATTAATTATTAATATGACTGACATATCAAAAGATTCACTTATATCTATAAGAATTTATTATTCAACATCCGATACAAAATGTACAGCATTACAATGGCTTACAAAAGAACAAACAGCTGATAAACAACATCCATATATGTTTAGTCAATGTCAAGCTATACATGCACGATCATTATATCCATGTCAAGATACACCGGGTGTTAAAAGTACTTACTCGGCAAAAATTACATGTCCAAAACCATTGACTGTGGTATGAATAAAAAGACACAAATTCGAAATGTATTTTAAATCTATTTCTAGTTAATGAGTGGTTTACAAACAAATTATGATGAACAGACAAATACATTCTATTTTGAACAACAACAAGCTGTAGCATCTTATTTAATTGCTATTGCTGTTGGACATTTAGTTTCATATGATTTAAGTTCTCGTATTCGTGTTTGGACTGAACCAAGTATGATTAAACAATGTCAATATGAATTTGAAGAGTCGGAAAAATTTTTAACTGAAGCTGAACAACTTCTTGGAGAATATAAATGGAAACGATATGATTTTCTTGTTTTACCACCATCTTTTCCATGTATGTAACTGTAGTAAATTGATTTATATTATTTTAAAATACTAATTATCATGATTTATTTTATTAATATAGATGGAGGTATGGAAAATCCATGTATGAATTTTCTTACTCCAACGTTATTGGCTGGTGATCGTTCATTAACAAGTACAATTGTACATGAAATGACACATTCTTGGACAGGTTCAATATATTATAAATTTTTTTTTATTAAAATAAAATATTTATTTCATTTCTTTATTTATCTAGGAAATTTAGTTACAAATGAAAATTGGGAACATTTTTGGTTGAATGAAGGATTTACATCATTTATTGAAGCCAAATTAGTCGGAAATTTAGATAAAACAAATGGAAAAGAAATACGACGATTTCATGCTGCTCAACAATGGCAAGACTTAAAAACTACTGTTGCAACATGGGGAGCAGAACATCCGTATACTTGTCTTGTTTATCGTTTGAATAATGTTGATCCTGATGACGCATACAGTTCAGGTAGAGATTTTATATCTCTTGTTATAATTTTTGTTGTTAATGTTGTTGTTTCTTTTAGTTCAATATTATAAAGGTGCTGCTCTTCTTTGGCATTTAGAACAGAATATTATTGATTCAGAATCTAAATTTGATGAATTTCTTCGTTCATATATAATTAAATTTGGTGAAACAATTTTAAATACCGATGATTTTATAAAATATTTTGAATCTTATTTTCCTCAAGCACCATCTGTTGATTGGCAATCATGGCTTTATACACCTGGTATGCCTCCCGTAACACATAACTTTTCTACAAAACTTGAAGAAAATTGTCATCAATTAGCTAATCAACAATCACCTATTACAAAAGAACAAATGAATTCATTAAATGCTAAACAAGTTGCATATTTATTAAATCTTCTTCTTAGTAATGATCAATCGAAAATAACTTATGATTATATAAAACAAATTGATATTAATTGTGATATGTCAAAATATTCCAATTGTGAAATACGTTTTCGTTGGTATCAATTATGTATTCGAGTTAAATATGAGAAAGTACTTGATGATATATTTAAATTTCTTGAAATTATTGGTCGTATGAAATTTGTTAAACCATTATATGTAGAATTTAAATCATCATGGCCAGAAATGTTACCAAGAGTAAAAACATTTTTTGAAGAACATAAAAAATATATGAATCCAATTACAGTTAAACAAATTGAAATACGACTTAATAATTAAATATTTCAAGCATTCAGACATTTTTTATTATTATATATTTCTTATCTCGAAAGAGAAAAAAAAATAAAACTATTTTAATCAAGAATTAAACATATTAATTTCTATTTTTATTTATTGTCTTAGACAAAAAGCGAATTTTCTATATTTAGGATGAATATTCAGACGTAAATGAATAAGAGAACTAAAAATTAGATTCAAGTGATTGACGGGTCAGTAAACGATGAGCACACGAGTGTTTAGGTCCATAATATTGACGAAAACAAAAACAGTCAAGGTAAATATCAGTCAACATGAATACAGGAATCTATCGATGTTATCTTTTCTGGACCAACGCCCTCACTTACACTCAGATGCTTGCGTGCTTATCATTCCCGTTTAACTATATCTCCAAGTAATTGTACAAATGTATATATTAAAAATATAAAAGATTGATCATATTTCCTAGAATCATTTGAAAGTAGGTCATGTACAAAAAATATTTATTTCAATAAATAATCAAAATATAATTTTTTCATTTAAAATATCAAAAATTTGTTGTTATGAAAAACATCTAAATAATCGTATAAAATACTTTTTCGTGATATTATTTGATTTGGTGTAATGTTTATCTTTTGTTAATGTTTCATTATATATACTAGCTAATGAATAGAATTGTGAACAACGTTGTAATTCATTATGATGTCTTCGAACAAATATTTTACTGATATCTGAACCTAAGAAGTCTTGATTAATTTGACTTAGTTTTGCTTGAGTTTGATTTTTCGGATTACCATTTGCATAAGTAATAATATCTGTTTTAGTTTCTGATATCCATGATATGATTGATACATATGAAAATCTTCGATCCATCGATTATTAATATATTTAATGTATAATAAATGGTCGACGAGAAAAGAATGAAGATAAGAATCATAGATACAGTATATAGTTTATTACTCAAAATAAACTAAAAAAAAGAATGTAACTCAATGACGTATGTACTGTATATGCATATTTTTATAAAGAAAAATACATTATCAAAGTGCGTTTATCACAAAAAATAAACGTCAAGATTTATAAATAATATATGATTGTTACATAGTAAAATTCCTTCTCTTAGAAATACTAACATTATCATTTAAGAACATTCTGTAAAAATTCAAATAAGAACTACTTTATTGATTTCAGAGCTAGGACGCAAGTATTTGTACTTGTACTTTCTGTACTTTTTCAAGTAGAAAGTACAAGTACAAGTATTTCGAAGATGTACTTGGTACTTGTACTTGTACTTGGGGAAGAGTACTTGATACTTATACTTGTACTTGAAGAAGTGTACTTGGTACTTGTACTTGTACTTTAGGAAGAGTACTTAGTACTTATTCCTTATATATATGCTGTAATATCTTATTTGGTATTGAAAATACGTCGATTTCGTTAAGCTTAGACCGTTTTCCGTTATTCTGCAGTGATCGACTTAAGATTTAGGTCGTTTCAATACTCTAACTATAAATTTATGCATATTTTTTTATCCTAAAAATAAAGTTGAGTTAAGTACTGTATTTTTTATTCCATTTATGTAGTGCATAAAATTATGTCGTATAGTTCTGGCTAGAGTCGTACATAAAAATTAAGGCCCGTAAGATTGTGTAGTCGTTTGGAAGCATGTATTTCAAAAATGGAAATTGCAAAAATGTAACATTAATAAAACGAGTACTGGTAAAAAAGTGAAGAAGAAATATATAAGCACATTGAAACTAAGAGTTAGTTTTAAAACCATCTGTTAGATGAAGATATGGAATTGTTATGTAAACATTATTGTTTAATAGCACTTACTCATTTCATTATACAATGTCTTTTGCATTCACTATATTTATTCCGACTGTTATAATTACAAATACATATCATGAGAGAATAGTAAATAAATTACGTTGTAAACTATTAGTGCATTATAATAAGCAGCTATACTAATCTTATTTCGAAAATAAATATTGTATTTATCTCGCATGTACAAGTACCAAGTACTCTTCTTCAAGTACAAGTACAAGTACCAAGTACTCTTCCTCAAGTACAAGTACAAGTACCAAGTATTTTTCTGCAAGTACAAGTATAATACTTGTACTTGCGGTACTTGTACTTGTCCTAGCTCTGATTGATTTCATCGCTATTATTTTAACTGAACGATTCTTCAAATATATAATTGAAATTTAATTATTTTTGAAGTGATGTAAACATTAATTGGTATGTATATTCTTATCGCATAATATCATTCTCTTTGTTTGTACCTATTTAATCGACTTATTCATGATACATTTTATAAATGTGATACACAGCAGAGAGGGAGGTCATAAAAACATTTAAATCACATTCATATAGAACAGGCAGTATTTGTCATAAAGACTGTTCATTTAAATTAGATAGTGCTCATTAATAAAGGTTTACATGTATACAGTTTTAATCTTCTTTTTATTATTTCCAAGTGTCAAGTATCATAATACGATTATGAATACTTTTAAGACTATAAAAAGAAAGAAATTTTTGAACGATTTTGAAGTGAACGTTTATGGAATGATCGAATAAAGTCAGTCGTATATTGAGTTTAAATATTTTATTGAAGTACCCGAGAGAAAAGAACACTTTATTATCTGATAATTTCAATGAATGAGAAAAAGAGCATGGAATATTTTCTCTATTGTTAAATTTTTACAAAATCAATAGATATGAATTCTATGAAGATGATACTGAAGAACGAATTAATGAACTGTTGATTGAAGGATCATTACGATTTCTTCATTATTTGATATTAATATAGAATCAATAACAGTATTGATAAAACACAGTCTGGTAAAAATAACTAATCAATCGATATTATTGATATATTTGAGAAAAATGAATTAATGAAATTAACATTTTTTATTTTATTTGAACTTATTATAATCATGAATGAATATGTTTTATGTCTAATTAATAGATTTCATAAATGACACAAATATTTTGATTCAAAAAAAAGATATTCAACATTTAGTGAAAATGTTTTAGAAGTTAGTTAGAAACTATTATTTATTTCGAGCGTTTTTTTATCAGAGAAAAAATAGATTTATTAAACTATAGTAAGAATTCCATTTTTGTATATTTATATAAAAAAAATAAAATAAAATAAAACTCATTTCTATCCCTTGTTTTCGTTCGAAGGGCCGACTATTAATTGAAAAACATGTTGTTGTTTTTGTTGATCACGAATTTGATTTGAATGTTCAAGAGTAGCATTTTGTTCACATTTTTCACAAAATATTAATGAAGCACAATGAATACAATCAAATCGAATTCCTTGAAGTTCATTATGACAAGAATCACATCTAGATAAAATTAGGATGAATTTTAATAGTTACTATACTAAATTATCACTTACTGAACACCTGCGTGTACTACAGTTTCTTGTTGTTCAGGAGGCGGTATATTATTTCTCACTTGTTCTGGTCCTGTATTGCCGATAGGTGCATACGGTGTAGCCTGAGACCAATTGAAACGTTGACCACACCCTGATTGTACATCACCACCATGATAATTTTGACCGCATATCATCGAAGCACAGCCTCCAAGATGCTGTACAACTCGTCGACAATTTGGGCAAAGACGACAATTTTGAGCTTTATAAGTCTCATCAGCTAATAGTTCATCATAACGTTGACGCAATTCAATATTTCGTTGTTCATTAGCTCCTCTCTGTCGTTCATAATCTTCTAATTGAGCTCTAAAAGTAGCATCTTGTTGTGCTCGAGCTTGCCAATAATTACCACGTTCTTGAAACAAAAAATGAAAATGATACAAAAAGATTACTAGTATTTAAAAATTCTACCTGTATTACACCAAAAGAACCAACGTTGAGTAATTTCTGGAATTTGTTGACATGTTGTTCGAAAATGATACTGTTGGCTACAAAGTGAACAAAACTGATATTTACATAATGGACATGTAACTTGAAAGCGTTCATTAGGATTTTGTACTTCAGCTATCCATTTACATCCTTGATTGGGACATTTAATGACCCCTTGAGTATTATCTGAATATGAATTGAAAGTTTTTTGTGTTTGATATTCTAAAAATTCTTTCTTTTGATCAGTTGGTATTCTCAATTGTTTAATTTCTCCATATTGTAATTGATAAGTGCAGAGTGCACATGTAAGTATTTCATTATTATTCATCTTTGTTGTACATGAATCTGCAAAACATCCATAGCATAATTTATGACTATCATTGCAGCCAAAAACAAAAATATCATCATAAATATGTGATTCCATACATATATCACAATCACGAGTAGGAACATCAAATGGAAACGTAGCACCTAAAAGAAAAACATACTGAAATCATGCTAAAATCAGAGACGAATTTAAAATTTACCAAGAGTAGCCAATGTATCGACAATTGAATGTGGATCGAGTGATAAATGTCTTTTCTTTCTTTCTTCGATAAAAACTCGAATTTGTGGTCCTGTTACTGGATATTTAGTTCGAGGTAAAATGAAATCTATTAATGTTTGTTGTTGTTGAGATCGAGAAATATTACGACATTGTTGTGAATGACTATCTAATCGATGTATATTGTATAAACAGTGACAATGTTCACAAGGAATCATATTTTCTGGATTACATGAAGCTACATGTTTCTCAAGATCACCCATTGTATTAAATTCAACATAGAAAAGACATATAGGACATTGTGAACGTTGTGTATTTTTAACAGAAGTTAATAATTGTTGTATAGTATTCGCTTCAAATGGTAAACATGATATATCGTATCGAGAAAGTTCATAATCACAGAGTGCTGAATGACATATAGGTGGATTATTGGATTGAATATATTCATTCATTGAACGTTGAAGACATTTAAGACAATAGATATGACTTGATTGACATGGAATAGTATGACTAGAATTTTTCGAAAAAGTAACTGGCGAAGAACTACAAAATTAAATATAAAAATGAACTGATAGAAATAGATTAGCTATACCATGTAAAGCAAGATTTTTGTGCGTGTATAGGTGTTGACTTTGGTACTGAAGATTTAGAAAGACATTCGTTCACATGTTTAACAAGTTCAGATTTAATAATTGCTTTTGAACAGATAATACATTCTTCCGTATTGCTTTCTTTTACTGGCTGTGGATTGAGACATGCATCTACATGTTTAACGTAATCAATTTCGTTAATTTCTTTAGTACAGATAATGCATTTCTTCTTAGTATTGTTTGTTTTTGGTAGTTCAACGTTACATGTATCTAAATGATTAATGTAATCTTTTTCATCGATCATCATTGAGCATACGGCACATTTTTTAGTAATTTTTTGGCTTGAAGTATAAGTTGGTATGGTTGGATAAAGCTAAATATTTATAAAGAAATTCTTTCATCATTAAACAATACTTAGCTAATAATAGTTTTCATTTTATATCTGTTGGAAACTTTTTAAATGACCCGATCCTGGAAATATAATTTGCTTTGGTTCTCTGATAATATAAGTATTTTACTGATTAAGCGTCGTATAAGTGTAGTTTAAACTTTCTACAGACTTGAAAAGTAAATATAAATATATAATATAATATTACCCGAGGAGCTTGAGACTTTGATTGATTTTTGTCCACATCATTTACATTATTATATCCACCTGTACATTTTTCGTAATGATTAGCCAAATTACTTACTTGTTGTCCACATAAAGCACATTTTCTCATAACTCCGCAATCGATAACATGAGTACGATATTGAGCTTGATCAATATATGCGGCACATAATCCACATTTTAATTTTTCATTCCTAAAATAAACACATAATATTAGATTTTTATGTAATATTTAAAATAATTTATGATATTTTAATACAAAGATTCTACATACTAATGTTACTACATTTGAAATGAAAACCGCACAGTAAGAAAAATTACCCTATCGTTCTTGTGGTCATTTTCCAATTCAGTAATATCTGAAGTAACTCTTATAAAATATATTTATGTTCTGAAAAGAAAACCTAAAACAAGTAAACATCACATGTTCTTATCTAGACGCAGAGCAAATAATTATGAAAGAAAAACTACCGTCTGTTGCGTTCGGATATATTTTCTTCCAAGTAAAAGAAAGGAAGAAACCAACATGCGCACAACGTGACTCATACCATGATGCTTTTTATGCAAATAAATCATACATTTTGTTTGTGAGAGTGAAATAATGATGAAAATATTCGATTTTTGATTATCCTATAGAATAAGATCGATACATATGAAATATTTTTAATAATTATATCTGTATTATCAAGACTTCTTGTAACCATATTTGACATGAAAGAATTAGATATATAAATCTAATTTATTAGTAACGAGCATCAAAATATATTATGAAAATTGACGCTTATTAAACGATTTCACATGAGCCTCTGTGATATAAAAATATCAGTAATCTAGTAATTTAATCGAATCTCAATCTCGAATTCTTTTACTAAAACATTATGTGGTTGTTATGGTATATCATTCATATACTTTTTTTTCTTCTTCTTATCTCTCATGTCGTATAGATGTCATTTATAACATGCATATATGAGATTCTGCATATCTCTTTTGATATTATTCAAATATATATTTCTCTCATCAATTCCATCGGTTTTTTCCTGACTTGTTTAGATCGACTTTCCGATTAATACTGGTATTGACAAATAGCAAAATAACTCGTTTATTAAACTATTTTTAAAGTCATTATGGTGATGAATAGCTGATTGTTATACTAAGATATACATTTATTTTGTTAATAAATATCTGTTGCTATGAATATATCATTTTGTTCATTTTGGTATACCTTGTTAGAAGGCACATATATATATATATTGACAATGACTCAATAAATATTAATCTGTAATCATGATTTGTTCAGCATATAGGGGAATAACGTTTACCTACTATGGAATGCCAATCTGAACCCAAAGCTGTTTTGCAATTTTATACGCTCAACTAGGAAGTCTGCTTAGACTTTCAGTTCAAATTCGTATTATTCATATGATTTATATAGAGATCGTATTTTTATAAGTAAGTTGTAATTATTTTTTTGCATTGTTGAGAATTATGTAAGCTTGCCGAATGCTAAATTATTTGATCTAGTAACTAAACAACATATAAACTATCAACAGGAGCGCATATACCTTTCCACATTGATTATTTGTGAGATTTATTCAATGTAAAATCCTATATAAAACTGTCTTATCTTTTTAATATAACGTTGAGTCTAACAATTAAAATTAATATTATCCAACCAAAAATACTATGATTACTGTCCATTCTAGCAATGTATGTCTTTCTGTATAATCAAGCATATATTATTTCGCAAAAAAATTGAATAACATCTATATGAGTTTTATATTTTATTAGGATTTATAAAGCGCACAAATATCATCTATCGTAAGTTCTCGACTATAAATTTTAAAATCATCAATATCACCAATAAATGCTCCTTGTAGACCAATTACACCATAATCACATGTATTATTTGGTCGATTAGCTAACATAACATAATTTGACATTGAACTCGCTAAATAAGTTGTGGCTGATACACTCGATGCTACTAAAACATTGTCGACATAAAGTCGAAGACCATTTGTTGAACTCCATGTCTCAACTATATGATGCCATATTGAAGATGTTGAAACAGCCGGACCATAAACAGATTGAACAATACTAGCAATCATCTGTGCAACAATAGAACCATTACTAGCAAAACCTATAAAAGACATGCACCAACCAATACCAGCTGCAGTACTTGAAACAAAGACAAGTGTTCCTGCTAGTGAATATGGTCGAATCCAAAGAGAGATACTAAAAGATTTGTTAGTTGTTCCAAGTTCTGTAAGATCATCGATTTGTAAATACGCATTTGGATTGTTAAAAGTTATAGCTTTGAATGAATGCCCAGATAACACAAAAGATGTTAATTGTGATGTACTTGGTAATGAATTTGATCCAGAATCATCAAATATAGGACTACTATCAAAATTATAATACGTAGTTAATGAAGCATCATCGAGTATCTCACATGCTGGTTTTGCTCTATCGAATATTGTTAGCTGATCAATATAACCCTATAATAAAAATACAACACATACATTTTCATGGAGAAAAATATCCAAAAATTCAACCTCAAAAGAATTATTTCCATACGCTGCAACAATTCCTGGTATATAGCCTATTGTAACATTATTCATAGTTCCTTGTAGTGACAGTACCGAAGTAGCATTTCCAATAAGGTATCCATTCTGATAGATTAACATAGAAAGTGTACTGTTATCAAAGACGAATGCAGCATGTGTCCATTCATTCAATGGTACAGAATTGTAAGTCATACAATTATCACCAAAAAAAGACATATAGAGAGTGTTTATAACACCAATCTTTTGAATAGTTAAATGAAGACATTGATCGTTTCCGGGATATGTACACAAACCAAGAATACTATGATGAGTTGGATTTGGAAATGCAGTAGGATAAAACCAAAGTTCAATTGTAAAACTTGCATGTATCAATGGAATATATGAAGTATACAAATATTGATTATTTGCTGCAGTAAGTGAGAGAGCTTGATTAACATAACCATTAGTAATAAAAGTTGGACTGTTCACTGGTATTGCTGTATAAGAACTCATATCGTCAAGATATATTCCATTAAATGTCCATTTAGCAAGAAGACCTGATGATGAAATCCATGTTTGATTAAGACATGATGAACTACATGTTATTGGAGTCGTCGTAACTAAAAATAATAGACAATATCAATTTTTAAAAATAATTTTATTTGAGAAAATAAAATAGTATCATTCATCATCTTATAATACTAACTTGTTGTGGATGTTTCGGAACTTGTCGATGTTGAAGATTTAGTTTTGATTAAGACACCAATAAGAATTGTAGTGATTACAATGGCAAGAAAAAGAGTAACAATCATAGACAAAATCACACACAAAGGTGTGCATGGACAATAATAGCCACATAATTTTCTACGAAAAAGTTTTCATTAATAAAGAAATAACGCCAACTAAACCTACTTGCGTTTCTTTTGTTTCTTTTTATGATTTAATATCTTACCGTAGCTGACATGAGATTGTGTTAAATCGGAACATAAACCACTCTGATCGAAGAAAATAATAACAATATGACAACGAGAATAAAAATACTCACTGTCTTGAAATCGCTACCATTGAATGAAGTTAAATCAAATTTAGTCAAATCCATTGGTTGATCAGTAGCTCTAGTAGGTGATATATGATCGGGCTATAAGAGTAAAACTTTTGTTTTTGACAATCGAATTATGAACCAAAAAAAGTGATACACTCGAAGTTTTCGAAAAATACATTTATGATTATATAGCAACATGAACTAATGATGAAAATAAACTGTTTAAAGAAGCATTAGTTAATGTCATCAACATAAAAGAAAATATTGTTTTATGATTAACAGTAATTATTGCAAAATATATTGTTAGACAGCTACTTATTTATGAATAATGATTACCGTTTGATTTAGGTAATATTGATTAGAAACTTTGAATACGAATTATCTCTTATTATATTTAAAAAAAACTTTCCTTACTGCTTTATGTTGAATACTTGTGTGAATGGAATCAGACTGGTTGAATATGAGATATTCGGTACTCGCCATAGCTCCATTTGAATTAAAGCAAGCTGATTTAATCTCCACATTTGACTTTATAGCCGAAGGAAATAAAATCTATACAAATAGAAATTAGAGAACTGATAGGTCATGATCGTATTTTTGAGAAATATTAATAACTTTATTATCTTTCGGAGCGCTAATTTTGTTTGATGGGCGAATACTGAGACGAACGATGCGAGTCGGACCCGTATATGATTTTTGTAAGGAAAGATTCTAAAAATAATATTGATCATTAATTATTAGAAAAGTAATATTTCAATAATTTACATGATTATCGAATGATCGATGACGATGTGGACGACGATGCAATTTAACAACACGAGATGGATTAAATGATTTACGTTTAGTTAATAACATTGTTGGCAATAAATAATTTTTTTCTAAATAAAAATCAGAGCTTTTTTTAACAATAAGTGTATAAGAATAATGTGGACGATTGTAATTCTTAATTTAAAAAAAAATTGTCAAATGCATTACTGCCGTTACAGATGACCTATGAAGTTTTATTAAAATATAATAGATGATGAAAATCGTATTTGTTTGCTACATATTGAATTTTAACTAATTATATTACTGACAGGTTTCTCTAGATTATCAATACAATATGTAAATTTCATTAATCAATAGTGTGACATGTAATAAAATTAAATCTGTCGAGTTTCGATTTCAAGATGAGATCAGCATATCAACGATGTAAAAATCACCAATTCAAAAATTCATAAAGAAAAATGAGAATTAGAAGTATCTGAACATATCGAACAATCTTTCGATTATATAAATGCTGATAATGAATATTTCGTTTGCAGAAATACTGTTGGTTTAAATTGTTGTTACATAAATTATAGATTTTTTTTATTCTAGCAAAATTCATTTTATATCTATGAGAGATATTAAAATAATTTTGTGAATAATTCATTTCTATCGATTCCATTTTCGAAGATTTATGATACAAATAATAAAATAAAATCTCACAAAAATCATCTAAATTTGATAAGATTCTATAAGAAATATTTTATTTTAGATTAGATGTTTTTATACTATTCTTATCAATAAATTTGGCTTTGTGTATAATAAAGGAAGGTTTCTTAGCGCATAATTAAACACCCACAACTATAGTTTCTTGCTATTGTCAACGTGGAGAGGATGATAAAAATAGTAAATCAATCTAAGACGTTCTCTAGTATCTGTATTTATGTTAACGAATATACTGTTGACAGTTAGAAAAGATTCATCGATATATATTATATAAATTCGTACTTAAAATTTTATTCAATTCATTTAACCACAATAGATCTTCGTTTGATCATTCATAATTATATCTTTTTATTATAGAGCAAATTTTATGGAACAAATTCATGCATGATTATTCACAAATTTTTTTGAATATCTTTAAAAAACGATTCAATGAAAGATTCGCTATTTTCATGTGTGAAGATTTACAGATAATCACTCCATTAATATTAGTTATGTTAATAAGAGAGAATACATACAAATCAACGAAAAAATTAAATTTCTTTTGTTTTGTTATGACACGAAAGGTGACAGAAATACGTGATTTAGGACTTTATCTTGTCCTAAATGTACTCATCAATCGATCTGTTCAAATGCAACTAAGTACATACAATTGATTGGAAAAACATTTTTTAAGAATTTTAATTAGGCAATAGTTCGTAACTTCTTTTTATGTAGGAAATGCCTCGACAATACCTCTCAGCACTGTAAAATAACATGTAATACAGAATTATCTCAATGCTCTTGCAGAAAATGAAGGATAGCTGACTGGTTTGAACGTCATCAGATATTTAATGCTAGAATGGTCTATAAAAATTTACCATCAAAGACATGAAATGAACGAAGAAACAAAAATACATTGGTTTAATATCTTATATGGTAAAGAAACTCTTTTTGTATCTTAAATTTCTTATCGATTCTATGAAAAGATAGCGCAACTTTAACTTTCAATAGCGTTAAAATATTAGCTGTTGATCTCTTGTTATTATATGGAATTATTTGAAAAATGTTCACGACTATGCATGTATTGAATCTATATATCATTTACATCTTGAAGAGTGAAATCCAAATATATATAGTCTGAATCAATTGTAGATAATTTGCTAGGTGTTATTTTCATTCTTAGATCTTTCTATTAATGTCTTTAAGGAATTACTATAAAACTATTCCTAAACAAATAAAGCATTCTTATTAATTAAAAATATCTTATTATTAATATTTTAATAAAGGAAGAAACGAAAGCTTTAATGGTTCTTTCTTACTGACTATTGACATTCAGATAGAAATAATCAATAATAGTAATAGCCATATTAAAATATCAATAAAAATTTTCGAACATTCCTGTCTATCGCCCGTGCTCACT